TGTCCCGACAACTTCGGATGGACAAAGCTGGATAAAACCACTAAAATGATTTTTCCAGGGTCCCAAGAATCATTTAGAACGGGACGAATGCTTCGTTTGGAAATCGCCTGATGATTCACAAGGTCCAGGGGAGAGCCTGCATTGCGCTCGCGATAAAGTTCTCCCAATTTTTACTGGCGAGAGCCGAGTTGTACTCGGAGCTTCGGGTTGCGCAAATGATTTGTGCAAGCTGTCTAAAAATTCATTGGCCCATTCCCGGGCAATTGCATTGCAGTAGAACGGAACGGAACGGAACGAACGGAACGGAAAGCCAACCCCGGAACGCCCGGAACGGAACGCCGACACCCTGAAAACCAAAGCCTGCAGGTCACTGCGTATCCCAGCCGCTCAGCACGCCCTCAGCACCGAAGAGGTGGGCGCCCAAACTTGCAAGCGTGGCGTTCGTGGCAAGAGACGTCTTGACTTGGTTCTTCCGCCTCGGCTTCTATGCTGGAACACTGCTTCTTGGGGCTTTGGCTTCAAGTTTAGGAGTTTAGGCTACTATAGGGGCCAAAATAATCGCCAATATTGAGGGGTCCTTATGAAAGTATAGTATACCGCCAAACCCTATTTTAGTTATTGAGGCCCCTATATTAGAGGTCTTAGGTGTTGAGGATTTGGGGCCAATTGGGCTTTCGTAGACTGTAGGGCTTTGGACGCTTGCAGGTTTATGTAGGGGCCTTAATAATTAGAATAGGGTTCTGCGGGACATTATTCTTTGTAATAAGGAGCCACCAGAACAGTATAGGTAATTATCAATCAACAGGCTTTCGACTGGCTCGGCTTTGTCGGAGACACGTCTATCAAGTTTCAAATCCTTCCATAGAGCTGTTCGGATTTGGCTCCCGTGGAGAAGTCCTTCCAACCAGTTGCTGAGGGGAGTCTCATACGTCGGCGTGATAATCCTCAGCCGAGTACCCTAGCCCAAAACCGGTTAACCTCTTGGTTTTAACTTTCACGCTTGCCTACGCAGCCACGAGGAACCTGTGTTTGCACACACTCTAGCGAGAGCTCAGTGCTTTCTTCTCTGTGGCTTGGGGCATTCAGGCTTCGCGTTTTGCAACTTTAGGGTCTGGAGTGGCCCTAGGGCATCCAGGAATTCTCTCAAATTGAAATATCAAGGCTCTTCAAGCTGAGCCTCAAAACCGAAAACACAGCAATTCAACAACACCTCTACAACGTTATCTGTCTAAGAGCTCCTCTCTGATTCTCTGTGAAGACCCACTTCAACACTCCATCCAGCTTTGCGCTCTTTGAACCAGAAAACCCTTCACCCAAAACCCTAAGCCTCTAAACCTTAACCCTAAACCTTACAGCCTTGAACAAGGGCCCAAGTGCCAAGGAGGGCTAGGCGAAGTAGTACTAGAGATTCCAAACCCCTCAATCAAGGAATTGAACCTTCAATATCCTGAAACCTGAAGAAGGATCCACTTATACTAACCACTTATAATGACTTATAATATCTCATATACTAACTTATAATAACTTATAACTGAGGGTATATACCTTAATCAAGGGTTTTTTGGAGTTTCTGGGGTGCCTCTTCCTGCAGGCTCAAGGCTTCTACTGCCGCAACAACCACCACGACGACGGCAACGGCGACGGCGACGGCGCGGGCGACGACGACGAAGACGACGACTACTACTACTACTCCTCCTCCTCCTGCTGCTGCTGCTGCTGCAACACCTTCTTCTGCTTCAACTTCTACTTCTACTGCTACTACGACTTCTGCTTCTGCTTCAGACTTCCAGTTCCAGTTTATCCCAGCCGCTGATACTCGTTGAAGTCCAAGTCGAAGATCTTTTCGCCTTCCTGTCAGAGCGGTTTCCAAGATATACCTCCACTCTAAAGACGACTGACCTTCTTCTTGGGGCAGGTCGCTGAGACTTCTCTCGAAGCCCTGAACCCAAAGCCCTGAACCCTGAACCCTAAGCCCGAAACCCTAAACCCCTATAAACCCTCCCGTACATACCCCAAATCTGACACCCTGGACCTCAAGCCCACGCAGACATCTCTGCGCCTGCCGGCCCTGCTTGCGAGCTGCGGGCGCTACATCGGGCCCACCGCGAACGACGTAGAGGTGGGAATCGCCTACTTGAAGGACCATGGGACCTAGTAGCTAGGGTCGTAACTACTTCTGACTACTTATAACCCCATTTAGGGCACATGGTAACTTTACGTACTAAGTCCCCTGATCCAACAAGTAGAGCGCCCAGAGACTCCCCGAACCGATCAGTAAGGGATCTTCCTGAAATCTTGAAACGGGAGCCTAGAAGGCATCATAGCTCACAAGACATACATTCCTGAAGTCTTAAGAAGAGAGGCTATATACAGGGTATTAGAACATTTCAGGAATATTCTGGGGCTCGCTCAGCGATGATGGAGTCTCTGAGTAGGGTTAAGGGACGGCTCCATAGTAATGATAGGCTAATGTAGGAGCCTGATTAAGAAAACTCTGGTCCAACAACCCCCAAAATATCAGGATCCACACAAAGAGCCCTCATAAAGACCCAAGGTTCCTTAATCAGGTTCCTATGGAGTGCACCCTACGTACACTATGGTATGCTGAGTCGGCAGATCCCTCGAGGAGCAGAGGTCATACAACTTGTCAGCTTATGCTTACTTCCCCAATAAGCCAGGGAAATAAAAGGTTATATTTTCAAATTACTACTAAATGATAAGAACCCGAAAGGTTTAAAGTTTGGCTATTGGGGAGCTAAGTATGTTGACCCAGTTGCGCTCTGTGAAGCTCATGCGCACTCGGTGGTGGTTGTGGTACCGCAGATCCAAGAAGTTGCCAGATGCGTTGGGTGCATAGATGCGTGCATGGGCGTCTACAGTCCTCGGATCGTCATCGTCCATGTTGAGGTGGTAGGAGAGTAAGAAGACACCCCCGGCAAAGGCTGACGCATGTAGCTGCAGCGCGCTGGACTTGATCGTGGCTTCCACTGAAGATTGGATCCCTGCCAGGACTTCTTGGGCAAATTCCTTCTCCTCCCCATCACGATAAGACTCGAAGTCAAAGCTGTGGATTTCGGGCTGCGCACCGAGACACTCGGGCCATGAAACAGCATCCTCGTCCTGTGCCTCGTCCGAGGAGTCCTCATCTGCAGTGACGGATGCCTGTCTTTTCATTTCTAGGAGCACACGCTCTCCAAAGTATGTCTTCCAATGTGCCTCGGAGGCAGTACCTTACTTCCCTAACAGGCCGGTGAAATAGTTAAAAGGTTAAACTTTCAGATTACTATTAAATGATATAAGAACCCAAAAAGTTAAAAGGTTGGGTATCGGGGAGCTAAGGTACCGACGATGCCTTTGAGCTGGAAGCGGTCCACGGCTCGCTTCAGCCAGGTCCCTTCGGCCGCTGCAATCTCTTCTTGCAGCTGAGCCTTAGTATCTGGGTACCCGAACCCCGAAAGGGGTTTGGGGTTTAGGGCTTTAGGGCTTTTTGGTTTAGAAAGGTTGGGGTTTTGGGTAACCTGTGGTAGGATCATGTAAACTCCCAGAAAGGTAAAAGGATGACCTTTTGAATGACCTTTTCGGGTTTAGGGTTCTATATAAGCCTCAAACAACTTGACCGATCAACTTGACCGATCCAGTCATGACCGGATCATACAAGCTCAAGAAAGAGTAACCTTTTAGAAATTTGGTTGGACCATAACCCTAAACCCTAAACCTTCAAAAAAAGTCAAAGGTTACCGACGCAGCTAACCGAGGAGCTGGTGCGATGCGAGGCTTCTTCTCGGCGACGGCGGCGTCGGAGGTCTTGCGCTTGCGTGAAGGTGCCGCCACAGGCCTAGTGGGTTCTTGGTGAAGGAAGCTAGGTTAAGTTACCATATCCATCCCTAATCCCTAAACCCGAAACCCTAAACCCAAACCATAACCCTAATCCCTAAACCCTAAACCCCAATTCCCTAAACCCTAAACCATAATCCTCCCTACACCCCACTACAGACGCTTTTAGGGCTTAGGGTTTTTCAAGTCCTGGGCTCTCCGGTTCCCTTGATAGTAGGACTGTTGGAAAGGAGGCTAAATCAAGTTTCCATAATCAGGGGTTTAGGATTTAGGGGTTTAGGGTTTAGGGGTGTAGGGTTTAGGGGTGTAGGGTTTAGGGGCTTAGGAGGTCAAATTAAGATTCCATGAGTGGGGTTATAAGTCCCCTAATTTGGGTCTTATAATTATAGTTGCCTTGCTTGTAACCCCACTTGTACTGGCTCCCTGTTGGGGCTATATAAAAATGATCATTCTTGATCCTTATTGGGTTTTAACAGCAAAAATGTAAAATTGAATCCAACAAGGACCCAGTAATAAGGAAACCTTACTGTTTACCATAGATCCCTATTGTGGTAACTCAACCTACATCGGGACCTAACGTAACTTAAACTACATCGGGACTTTTAGCAAATAGTATGGCTTCCAAGGGCACAAAAACCTTAAGAAGAACCTTATAGTAGAGTAAACAGTGTGGTTTTCCTTGTTATGGCACAAAAGACCTTCAGAAGAACCCTAAACCCTAAACCCCTAAACCCCTAAACCCTAAACTAGAACCCGGCAGAAGCCTGGGAGGTGGAAGCCCTCGGAAGAGAGCGTCCATGCGAGGGGAGCACTGGGAGACCAGCCTTCGCACCTCCGGGAAGCTTACCTGGGCTCTTGCTAAAGGAGTTAAATTTAACTTACCATAGGGGTTTCGGGATTTAGGGGTTTAGGGATTTAGGGTTTAGGGATTTAGGGTTTAGGGTTCTTGTTTAAGGATTTAAGTTAAGTTACCATAAGAGGGGTCTATAGTAAATAATAAATAATATGGTTTCCTTATTATTGTACTTTCGACTAAATCCCTTAACAAGAACCCAGTTGCGGTCTCCGTATTCTTTCCCTTCATGCGGAGAAAAGATTCCTGGCCGGAGGTGCCCGTGGTAAACTTGAGGCTCTTGGCGCCTCCTGTGATGTCCTTGGCGACCTCCATGTTCACGATGGCCATCTCACCTTCTGGCTTCACATAACAAGTCGGAGCCTTGCTCAAGATCAGGGTGACTTCATTGCCCACAATATCGATGCGGTCAATATCCTGGAACTTGACCTGGATGGAGTGCTTGGCTGCCAGCTCACCCGCCCTCACCACGTCAAAGATGCTCAGTTCCTTAAAGACGAAATGGACCCCTAAAAGGGTTTCAGGTTCATATAGCCATATAGGGATTCATAGTATGAGAGGTATAGGGCCCCTACTTATAAGGCTCATTTGGTCCCCAAGGTTCCTGCTTCGGCTTGTTCTCGTCCCGCTCACCAAAAAAGTCGCAGGGTCCAAACCTCTCGTCCTCTGATCGGTTCGGAGCGGCATGAAACACTGCTGTTGTGGTACACCTTTAAAGACCCCAGACCTCTAAACCCTAAACTCAGAACACACCCTAAAACTCGAAACTTTTACGCCCAAGCCCCGCATTAAACCCGTAAAGGCCGATGCCCTGAACCCTCAAACCTACTGGAAAGTCCTCCATGGCTTTCGCTTTGTCCAGCAGCTTGCGCACAGCCGCCGGAGTCCGGTTGACTTCTTGAACCTTGCTCGGCTCCATGCTCTCGGTGGGGCTGACGGTTCGGGATTTCGGGGTCCGTTTCTTTAGTGTGGGCCTGGGGGCTGGGTTAGAAATTTTGGGCGTAGCGTTTTGAGCAGCGAGTTTGGGGCTCAGGCTTTGGTTGAGGGTTCGGGTTTGGGGTTTAGGGTGATTCTGTTGCGCGAGCGTTTAACCGTTTCGGGGGTGTAGGGCTTACGGATCTTTTTGGCAACACAGGCGACTGGGTTCCTCTTCCTAATGTCCTCTACCGGCGTTTAGGGCTTAGGGCTTGCGTGCGTTGAGTTGGGCCTCCAGTAGGTCCCTGGTTGTGGAGATTCCCAAATTCCCAGATGAGTCGCAGGGATGGAAGGAATGTAGAGACAAGTTCTCCAAACAAATGCTTGCAGAACGCTTAAGCATGACCCCCAATTCTACCAGTTCAACAAGGAATGAACCCTACGATCTAAGGGGGCTTAATAGTATTAATATGTGTACAGTGTACAAATATATAAAATATAAAAAAAACCAAGAAAGTGTGTATATATATATGTATATGCAAAAAATCTCTCTCTTTCTCTTTATATATATATATATACATACATGTTTTAAGGCATACTCCTGAAGGCGTATTGGGCTCTTTGGGCTAAGGTTATACGAACCCCTCTTCTGCGCCTCGAAAGCAAAACGCTGCCGGCCGAAGAGCGCCTTGCCCACCAGCATCGTTTCCTGGAGCCGCTTGCGTGACCCAGAGAGTCTATAGGGTTTAGGGCTTAGGATATTTTAAAGAGTGCTATTGAGCCCCTAGAATAACTTAAGGTGCATTCCTTAGGTATTGGGCTCTCTGGGGAGGGATTGAGGGATTTGGGGATATTTATCATCGACGGCTCTACTTTACTACTACAGTTCCAACTTTCTATACGCAATAGGTTGGGTGCTGCCCACATACAGTAACAGTCTATAACGGGGCTACTATTCTGGGCCTTTATATGTCCAGATTATGAATATTACTCAGCTGTTACTGAGTCGGGGCAGTATCCCAGCAATAGGGTTCTACACAGGTTTAAGGCGAAGGCTTGACGAATTTTGGGGTACAGGTCTGAATTCAGGGATTACCTGTTACGCACAGCCCAAGACCCTACACCGAAACGCCCTTTAAACAAAAAAGGACCCCCAAGTCTCAGCCAAGCCCCAGAGCCCAAGCCCCGAATAGAAGAACTTATAGTAGCCCTTTGTTGAAAACCTTCTAGGAACTTAACCCCTAAACCCTAGTCCTTAAACCCTAAGCCCCAGTCCTTAAACATGAAACCCCAGTCCTTAAACCCTAAACCCTAGTCCTTAAACCCTAAACCCTAGTCCTTAAACCCTAAACCCTAATCCTTAAACCCTACAGCCCCCAAACTCCAGTCCTTCTTTGGCAGCGGCTTGGAACTCCCGAGGATGCACGGGAAAGCCGCAAGCCCGCCAGCGCCACCCAATTGCCAGGACTTGCGGCCGGCCTTCTTCGATTTTTTTGGTTTGCATGTGGGCTTAGGGTTTAGGGTTTGGGGGTTTAGGGGGTTTAGGGGGTTTAGGGGCTTAGGGTTTAGGGGTTTAGTTGTCCAAATTCGGGTCCCTTTTTAGGTCCCCAATATAATATGGCACCCTTATAATAAGGACCCTAAAAGGGGATCCTTATTTAGAAAACTACCCCATGCGGGCTTCGTTGTTTCTTTGCCGTTTAGGGGCTTGCTTGGGGTTTCGGGGTTCGGTCTTCGGGTTCAGTGTAGGTGGGGTCAAAAGGTCAGTGTTTAGCATCAGGGTGCAGCTGTTTTAGGGCTTTAGGGGTTTGGGTTTAGGGTTGAGGGTTCAGGGTTTCAGCTGCTTAGGACCTATCTTACGTGTTTCGGGGTTTGCAGCCACCTGAGACTTAGAAATCTATAGTCCCTCGTTCCTGCTCAGGTGTGGGTCGGGGGAGCCTTGCAGAGGTGAGAGGAAGGTAGGACTTATTTAGGATCCCGCATGTCAAACCGTAAACCCGACACTGACTCAACACTGTCAGGGCTCAGGGCATCTCTCCAAAACCTCTATGAGGGTTTGCTTCTTGGGAGGCAAAGGTTTTACAGGACTGGAAGGTCTTTTTGGTGTCAAACTGGTACTACTCTGTAACATTATCGAAAAATTTGGGGTGCCTCATTCAGCATACCCTTCCGCTCTAAATTCAAGACACCTACCCTAAACCCCAAACCAAGTCGTAGCCTCAAGTATTGTAAGACCCAACTTCGCATCCGAAGTCCTGGGACCTTGCGCCTACACCCCAGAAGGTCAACAGTTGCAAAGACCATGCGATCGATGTCAACAGCCATAAAACATAGTATTGTAGTTTCTATCGGGGTTCTCTTGGTCGAACCAATAGTGCCAAATAGCAAGTGCCTAGCATTGGGGCTTCCCCCTGGCCACGCTAGAGAACTCGGAAGCCGCCAAATCTCAGCCCCTACGGTTGATGATACAAAATCTTGCATTACCCATAATAAGGAATATGGCGGCTTCGGGTTTAGGGTTTAGAGTTTACAATCATTCCCATAGTTTAGGGTCCTTTAAGGTAATGCAGGATTTATACTATCATCAGTATGTCAGGTCCCCTCAACCCTAGCTTTAGAATCGTCAAGCTCGGAATGATTCCCCGAGGCCTTAACCGAACCCAAATCCTCCAACATGTTTCTTCAATGGGATATCAAGATATGATGCGAGCAAAACGCGCTACAAAAATGCATGAACTCTCCTGGCTTTGCCGCAACCCAAGACCATAAACAGCCCAAAAGCTCAAAGCAATGCCAAAACCCTCGCCCTCAACCCGAAGACCTAACTCCTAGACCCATCACCACTCAACCCTAGGATCTGAATCTTCAACGCCCTCAGGGTCCAAGTACCGAATAATCATATACTCTTCTGAATACTAAGCTACAAAACTACTATCCGACACCCAAGTACATGACTATCAGGCCCTTTGGACCCTTAGGGACATTACTCCATGATTCTGGGGATTTGGGAGAGAAGAGCCGCCGGCCTGTAGGTTGGCCACCTGCAGACATGGCTACCAGACCAGGGAGGGTTTTGGATCTAGGATTTGGGGGGGGGGGGGAGGGGGTTAGGGTTTACGGGCCCTGAATCCCAGAAAGTCGGCACGACATGGATTTAGGATGATTAGTGCTGGGATCCCCTAGACTTGTACCTTAAGGGCATGAGGATAACGACGTTCCAACTTTTTGGCTTCTCTTGTGGTTTACGGTACAGGGTTTTGGGTGTTGGGTTGTAGGCTTTGTAGGGATTAGGTTCTAGCGTTCAGTTGGGCCTGGCTCTTCAGGCTGAGGGTTTTTGAGGGTTGGATCCTAACTCCCATCAAAGGCGTGATCCAGGCATGTCCGTCCCCCCACCTCAAATTCTACAGGCTTCGGCACGCGTGGCTTCCGCTCCTCAGCATCTTCTTCGTCCTTCGGCTCAAACCCCAAAGAGGCAAGCGGGCTACTTACTCAGCTACTTAGAGTTAGACTTAAAGGCTTGTAGGGCGTATGGGACATGCCTCGACATGTTCCAACTGGACGCGGGATTCTTTGTTTTCAACCAGGATGGCTGAGACACCTTTTGCAGTAAAGCAGCCCTCAACCCTAAACCCTGAAACCTAAACCCCTCAACCGTCCCTCAAGAACAATCTGGGGCAAAAAAAAACCTAAACCCCTAAACCCTAACCCAGGTTAATTACTGGTACTTACTGAGCTCCTCATCCCAGGGACACCAACCGCTCATGGCGAATAATGGAATGAGAGGTGTCCACTTGGCGCGCTTTGGGCCGAAACACTGCCTCGTAGAAGCGTGATACAGTGTGTCAAGGGCGGCATGAAAATGTGATACTGTCCGAGGTTTCATATTCAGCATTCCGTGCATGCAAGACAGGCACGACAAACACAGAAACTTCAGCAATGTAGTCTGTGTCGGGCGAATTCCCGGATAAGAGACATCATGAGGATCTTGCGCCCCTCCGGTCTAGTCTATACAGCCGAGGCTTACCAAACACTTGCCGAGCCTTCGATCAGTCTGTATGGTTCATGGGTAGCTATAAATAGGGCTATATAAATAGGGTAACTATACTGATCACCCATTCTAGGGGACTAAGAACCCCACATATAACTACCCTAAACCCTAAACCAGTGTTCCTTTAAGGGCTCCTTTCAGTGCGCCTTTAGGGCTCCCTTTGAGGGCTCCCTGTAAGCAACCCTAAACCCTAAGTCCTTAAAACCCTATGGTGGCTCCGCTAAGGTTCCTTTCAGGCTTTAGGGGTCTAGGGTTTAAGGTTTAGCTTTTAGGGTTCGATGTCTCCTTTAATGGCGACCATGATTGCGGTTGATGACATAAATCCTGCATTACCCATAGTAGTGAACAGAGCATAATTTCCAGAGTTCAGGGTCCCCAAGGTAATGCAGGATGTATATCATCAGCAGATGTTCCAACTTCCTGGGCTGCCTCGAGTATCACACGCCTCGACCCTCCGTCTACCCTTCGTTCGTACGGCCCTAAAGACCTACCACTGAAGTTCCTTTAAGGGTTGCGTCTACTATAC